ACTATTCTTTCTTCCCCACCAAGGAAGATGAAAAGCAACAAAAATACTCGCAGGAGCCGCCTAATATCAGTGCCGGTTGTCTTTGCAAGACAAAGCTACTTGCACTCAATGATCCCTGATAGCATCACAATTTGGTGAGATAGGGGACAATATGCATTAATAAAGCAGCTGCAATCAATACGGGAGAGGAGAAAAAAAGGAGGCCTTATTTATCTGCTGGAAGCAGGAGCCGAGAAGAGAAACAAGAAATATTATACTGATTAAGGAACACAAGTAACACACGGTCGGTGCGCAATCGAGCTTGTGGATTACATTTGCAGCCTTGAATTTTGATTTAATAAGCAGGGCTAGACAAAACAATTAGGCTGCAGCTCTGCTGCATCACACGCCAAATCCTGCTGGCTTTGATCTTACAGAGTGGTAAGAACTCTAAAGAGAAAGTTTGGAGGCTATTTTAAGGATGCTTACAGCTTTTCAAACTCGGGATTTGGTGGTTAGCGCATCGAACATTACTCACTTTATGAACAAAGTGGAAAGTTAATACAAATTGGCAGATGACTAACTGTCCAAGAAACAGATTACGGAGTGAATCATTGACGCTACTTTTAGTCTAGCATAAGACAAATGAAGAACAAGGGGGGGGGAAAGACAAACAAGAAATTTCCTTGCAGAATGTTTATATTTGCACTGCCTGTGAACTTTCAACTACGACAAACTGCACAACAATTTTATGATTTACCGTGAGCCTTACATTTAGGTTAGCTCACTGACATATACTACTACTTTAATGCTCTTAATGTTTGGTTTTCTGTAACAACAGTTCTGCACCGTGTTTTCCCTCAGCACGCATTATTTTAAAACAGTTACAGGAGTAAATATAGGGTTAGAAATGAAGTCAAACCATTGAGACATCAGAAGCATTTAGCAGGGCATAGGTTCTACACACAGGAGCATCTCACCTCGGGCACACAATTTACCTAAAGCCAAAATGAAGCAGAATTTAGATTTCCCTGTTTGAGAGTGTGACCTCATCTAAGTCTACACATATTTTAATTTTGCTAGGGCAGTCCTAGGCAGGAGCTGGCCGAATGCACAGGCAGTATCCAGCCTTGCATAAACCCCACTGCTTTTGGTCAAGGCCAGAGCGGAGTGGAGGCAGCAGTCTGGGGATTTACTCATCAAACTGTCACAAAATCAGCCAGGGCTTAAGAGAAGGGTGGAGGAAAAATCTCTCTGGGTCTAACACACTCTTTCCACTCTTCCCATACGCTCAGGTATAAGCCCAGGTTTAAAAACTCTGGATTTTTGAGGATGCTTCACAGCTGTGGCATGAATAAGAATGACTCTGTCAGGTTGGATGGAAAAGGCAGTTTGCACCAGAGTGCACTTTAGCACAGTGACTGCGGAGTGAAGAGATTTAGCAGAGATTGCAGAGAGAAGAGGGAGGCTTGTCCGACCGAGTCCTGTTTGAGTCTTTGCACTTTTCTCACAACTGCCCATTGCCAATGGAACGGGCCTGCTCCGCACCCGGAGCTCCCACGCCGGCAGCAAGCTTTGGAGCGGAGCTGTGGGCTGCACTGGGACCTTTTCCTCCAGAAAGGAGCATGCCATGCATGACCCTCGAGAGGCGGCCCCCATGAAGCCGCTCGCCCAACGGGGGCTGCGCGATTCCGCCCATGCCCTGGATAACACACGGAGCTGATCCCAGCAGAGGGGCTGGGGACCCGGTTCACTCGGACAGGCCTCCGCTCTCTGCCCGACACGGGTCCTCGTCGGGCACCGCGGGAAGTCAGCGAGCTAGCGCGGGCACCACATGAATGACTGCGAGCAGCTGGGCTCCCACCACTGCCCACGCGGGACGAGGTGGGTCCACGCGCAAAGGCAGCAGAGGAATCTCAAGTCCAGGTAGTCATGGGACCTAAACGCCTTTCTGGGAGCAGTCCTCAGGGATTTGGGGCATGAGCCCCATTTCCAAGCCAGCAAAGTTCAGGACATGGTTGAGATTTAGACAGGTTATCCACTTACGATCCGACCTTCGTGGCACTTCTGATGGCACGATTCCCTGAAAACAAACGGGAATCGGACCACCGAGCCTACATCCTTTTGAACTCGGAACAAAAGCAGGCACCTCTTTGGCAGCTCCTTACTGAGTATTATTCTGTGGGCTTCAGTAAGAACTCTCCAAAATGACTTCAAGTCTATTCGCATGGCAGCTCGCCTTTTCCTCTAAACCAGTCTAAAAATAAGAAAGTCCCTCATATTGTTGCCATGTAACAAACAACTGGATTTTCACACGTATCAAAGTTACATTTCCATAGGCTTCTGCCACTCTATTTTTAGCGTGTTTTTTCCCAGTGAGCAGCGACAAGATAAAGACTGTCCATCAGTCGAGTTACACAAGAAACCAGCAAACACAGCCAAGATATTTCAGAAAGAATCAAATTAAACACTTGGTGGTAAGTGCTGCCCACTGGTACTGAGGGAGCTTCGATAGAGCTGGATTTGCTGAGGATCTGCCCCAGAATGGATCTTTATGCTTTTAAGCACACTCTGTTTTTAAAATAGGAATAATAAGAAATGCAGACTCGTAATATCCTTATAAGGAATAACTTACTAGCATAAATATTGCAACAACAGGCAAACTAAACACTTCCTAAGCGTTGAAATTTTCACGAACGTGGAAGAAAGGATTAGCATTGACTCACTCATGATCTTTAAATCCCACAGCAGAGACAACTTGAAAGCAGGCAGCAACACCATCAATTAATGGAGCGTATCAGGATACGCTAATTGGACTAGCACTACAAGCAGAACACCTTGCAAAAGAGAATCCCCATTTGTTCTGGCACAACAGCACGGGGGGCACGTTTTGGCGGTACGAGAACACAGCCCTCCCTGCAATCTGCACCTTGCAGGAGCTCAAGCGCCCAGGGCTGCTCTGCTGCACCCTTGCCGAACGCACAGCACAACCTGCACAAAAAGCTTGAGCCTCAGAGGTGAACAGCTACGTGGGCGCCGCAACGTTTGAAATCCATTACTCAAACCCTAAGAATTTAATAGATGGCTTTCCGGTTTTGCCTTTTTGAGTATCACTTTCAGCAGTGGGAAACGTTCACCTTCTCCCAGGCAAGAGCACACGCGTCCATCCTGCCGGGCGTCCTTCACCCTCCGATTCACATTTTCTCCCTGCCTCCCTGTGGGGAGCGCCCGCCCTCGGCCCCAGCAGCCACGTAGGTCCCCACAGCATCGCCACCCTCTCCTGAGGTGCGACGAGCAGAGGCTGAGAACGGCAGCAGCAAGAGGAGCCCGCGCGCGAAAGTTCGGCCCCCACTCCACATGCAGAGATCCCATTTTCCAGATGTGCATCTCTGGCACCAGGGCCAAGCGTCACCGGCACCCGCTGCAGGGGCGGATTTTAACTTCACAACCAAAACTACTACTAGGGGCGGCTTTTTTTGGAGGTTTGAGATCTTTCACTGCTGCGCAGCAAATCGTTAAAACTAGGTGTTTTTTTTTTCTCTCTCTCTTTTCTCTCCCTTCTAAAGCTCAAAGTAACATTTTCCAACCTTTCACTAAGAGCAGGGGCCAAAACCACACGTTTTAAAGGTCTTCCACAGTTTTATTATTAGAAGTAGAAGCCCTACTGATACTGATGAGTCATTTGTATTGGCGGAAACCAAGAACACCCATTTTCTTCGTGTGCTACAAAGCTCTCAGTGTGGTTTTCTATTCATTACTGGTCAAAATAGATGACTAAGAACAAAACAAGAGAAAAGAACTCACCTTTTTGTTATTAAAGCCTGTTTGAAATCAGCTGATTTTGTTTATCTTGCTTTTAGAGACCACTTATTTTATGCCCTACTTAAGAAAAAAAGGTCCTCAAAGAGGACTAAGAACTTAAGTGCTGCAACAGTAAATCCAGAACTGCAGAAAGGGAATGGAAAAGCTTGTTCCACAAAGGCTTTTGTGATAGATTAAGAAAGGGAAAAAAAAAAAAAAAAAAAAAAAAGAAAAAAAGAGGGGAAGAGAAAACTCAACAAGCAGATCAGTTAAAAAAAAAAATCATCAGCTGTGGTTTTAGGAACCTTATGAGTAATCAGGAAGGAGCCTGTAAATAAAGCAGTTATACAAGAGCGCAAGTTTTCATCTTGGTGCAAACGATGAAATCCTTTCTGCCAAGGGCCAGACCTGCTGCTGTCCCAGCTCATAACCGCCCGGGAGAAGCGCCTGGCACGTGCTGAACTGCCTGCACGAGAAGTGGGGATTTTGGTAAATAGCACACCCCATCCATAAGAAGGCAGTAAAGCAGGACGGGGAGGCTCGGTGTCGCCGGGCCCCGCTCGCGGCCGGGCGCTTGGTGGCACGTGGGGCAGGCGGCCCCGCCACGGGAAGGGGCTGCGTTCCCCTTGCGCTCCCGCTGCTCCGCGGGACGGTTCCTGTCCGGGTCCCTTGGGACACGGGCAGCAGAAGCCAGGGGGCTTGCCCACGAGCAGCCCCCGGCTCGCAGCCTCCCTGCCAGCTGCCCCCGGGTGCAAGCTGGAAGCCCCCTGGTTTTCTCGCTCCTAGCAGCTCCTCAAACACCACCTCTGTCGACACGACAGCAGCAGAAGCTGTCCTCCAAACTCGATGCAAACTACAGGATTTTAGAAATCAGGCTCAGAGGACCTGAGGCTTTTAGGTCACCTCCAACACCAGAATAACAAGAGAGCCTTGGGTCCCCCAGGCGCTGGCACTGAGGATGTCACCTCCTCCCCTTCCTTCTTTGGGGCGCTTCATGGAAAACATCCCAGCTTGCTCCAAGGGCAGATTCACACCCTCAGGTGTAAACAGGGAGGGAAGAGGCAAAGCGCAGGACAGGGCTGAGGGGTTGGAGGTGGAGGGGCTGCAGCCCGGCCGCACTTACCCCAGGAGAGCTGCAGCTCAGCCCCGGCCCCTTCGCAGGCAGCTCACCCCCAGCGAGTCCCCAGCCCGGCAGCACCGACCCCCCTGCTCCTTTTCACCTGCGCTGAGCACGTGGCTGTTCTTCAGTCAACACCCGCAGCCCGGCTAACTCAGGAGCTCCAAGTTCTTCGCTGGCCACCAAGAAACGTGCGTGCGTTCCCCCGCTCCTTAAAATCACAGCTCAGAGGCGAGCAGCGGCGCGGCGAGCTGCGCTCTTCTCAGCGCCACAGAGACGCTGCTGCCCGACCGAAAAGCAGAACGAACACGCTGCAACCCAGCCGGCTGCGTTCATGCATTTTACATCTCCTCCGCGCGAGCTGCAAACGAAATGCTTAATATTCAGGCAGCTGCCAAGGTGAATGTCCTTTGGCTGAATTTAAAGAAATGATGAGCGTTTTTTGCAGAAAGCTGAGCAAGCGTTTTCAGCGCTCGGCTGGAAAACCTCGGGGAGCTGCTGGGGGTAGGGACCTATTGTCCATTCAGCCACTACAACAGAATCATTTAGGCACCTCTTCAAATATCAGCAGAGCCACAATAACTGAATGAGCCCCTTTCACGCTCTCTTGCAGCATCCGTAGTCGGGAGGAGCGCTGAAAGCAGCGGGAATAACTGGGGCTTACGGAAAGCTGCCTGTTAACGGCTTAAATCCAAATTTTCTTCGACACATTAGCAGAATGCCTGGCGAATTCCACCCCCAAACCACTAACACCCAATGCTCACACCCCCAGTTAATAGGCATGGAAACCCAAAGGAAGGGATGGAGGGCAGAGGCAGGAGCGCCCGGCAGCGCGAGCCAAAGCCGCTGAGCAGGCAGGGCTCTCCGGGCAACTCGGGAGCCGGGAAGCGGCTCTGCGAGCAGCGCCGGGAGCCAACGGCACGGACGCCTTCCTTGGAGAACATCAACTGCGCTCGCAGCGCCTGAATTCAAAGCACAGGCGGCTCCGCTCGCAGATCACACAATAAACATCACTCCATTTACACCAGCAGTTTATTATGTAGTTTCTATAGGACGCTTTATATAAAAACGTAATTACTGCCGTAATTTTCACCCTCACAAATACCAGCATCACGCATTGCCTTTTCCAGCTTAGTGCCAAGAATATTTCTTGGCTGCACCCCGAGGTCTCCCCTTTATCTATGCCCACGCAACGCCCTTTCCAAAAGGATGCCACAGAGGCACGAGGACAGGACACCTCTCTATTCCTGTGAGGATTTTGGAGAAAATAAATAGAGGTAATGGCTGTAGCATTTTCTCACAGAGGGGGACCGCGGGGCACAGGGTGAAGGTGGGCAAGGCTCTCCGTGCTCCTTGCTCCGCACGCACGGCAGGAAGGCGTGCACGGCTCCACGGCATTAACGTCTTATTAAAGCCGCTAATTCCAATGGGTCTCCGAGGCCTTCCGCGGTGTTCAGCCTCCACCAGAATTCCCTCATGCTGAGGGTGCTGGAAGCGCCAGGGAAATGCCTGTTTACTGGGATCAGGACCGCTATTTTGGCTGGAGCATCGCGCCCGCTCGCCGGCCTCCCTGCGCGCCACGGAGCCGCCCTCCTCCATGGAGCGACCAAGGGAAAGCAAAGCACCGGGATGAGGAGGGCGACCCCACAACCCACGCACGGGGCCTTGATGCCACCGGACGTGTCCCCAGGCCAGGAAAGGGCTGAGGACACCTGAGGCCCCAAGGACACATTCCCATTCCAGGTGCGGGAAAACCTGGGCACGAGCAGGTCGGGATCCATGCTTAGCAGGGTGGGACAGGGCTCATATCCAAAGGCACAAGCTCACACCTCAACCGGACCCTAACTTCCAGCCGTGACTCCCGGAGCGGCAGCTAACGCTCCGCCAGCCCCACAGCCAGGCGAGCGGCGCCTCCATCGCTCCATCCTCCCCGTCTCGCCAGGGGGAAGCACCTCGGCTTTCCCTACGCGCCCCACGGAGCCGTGGGCCCCGCGCACCACCATGGGGCTCGCCCAAACGCCGGGCTCCAAGCGAGGAGCAGAACCGCCGGCTGCGAGCGCCGGCCCGGCACTGCCCGCCTGGAGCGCGCGCCAGTTCGGGGACGGCCCCGAAGCGTCGGGAACGGGATCTGCGCCCGCAGGCACCAGCGCTCGCGCCGAGCGAACGGCAACGCGGCGGCCGCTGCGGCGCCAACGGGCGCCCCTCGCGAGGAAACGGGGGGAACGGGGCGAAAACGGCGGGAGGCGGCGCGGAGCGGGGCTGCCTGCGGGAGCCCGCGGCGCTCGGCGGCGGCGCCGCGCGCGCACACGGATACGCACACGTACGCACACGCGCACTTACATATATATGTGTGTGTGTGTATATATACATATATGCATGGGCACATATGCACACAGCCGCTCCCGCGCCCCCCGCGCAGCCCCGTTACGCAACGCGCGCGTTTCCCGCCCCGCGCAACCGGAGGGGGGCGGGGGGGGGGGGTCACGAAAGCGCCGCGGGACCTTGTGTGTCGTCCCCCCCGGCCCGCGCAGCCCCCGCGCAGCCCCCGCACTCACCTCCGCTCCGCGCAACTTCGGCGGGTCGCCCCTCGCTGCAGCCGGGCGGGGGCGCGGGGCAGGATTTTGGGGCGGGGGGGAAGGGAGCGAGGCTTGTGTTTTGGAGCGGGGCCGGGGGCTGCTCCGGGCGCTGCTGCTGCTGCTGCTTCGGAAATTCTTACTGGTGTTTCGGTGCGGTCAGGCGCCTACGCCCGCCCGCCCCCCTCCCCCGAAAACAAAAACAAAAAACAAAACAAAACAAAAAAACCCGCCCCAGCACAGGCGCTCATCACATGGCGCTTGCTTTGAACCAGCTGCTTCCAGAGCCAAAGTCTTGTGGAGAAAAATAAAGGGGGAAGGGCGGGAGGGAGAGGG